GTGACATAAGAGAGTTAAGAGGCCACAGAATGAGAAGCCACCAGAATATTTAACAGTGAAACTTAAAACTGGTGTTCTCCAACAGGAGAACATTCCCCGTCTGTCCTCCCTCGGCCCCCGCCTGTACCGCAGGTTTTACTCTGTCTCGATAACCAGCTTCCCTCATTCCCTCCAGCAATACTGGCTGGCTACTCTTTTCATTTGTCTCTTGGAATTCAGCCGTGGGTAATTTTTAGAAGAAAGAAAATTGCAGAGAGATGAGATTCAGCCTAAGAAGAAAAGTGGGACGTAAGGATAACATGGCAGGTCACAGGACTAATTTAAATGCACCACCAGCTGAGTCAGATACACAGTCTAGATGGCTGGTCTATGAAAACTGCCGTAAAACATAATGAAGTCTGGTAATAGAATGAAAAGAGAGAGAAAGACCATGGCCCATGCCATTCCACATCCCAAGTTGTTAAAGCAGAATATAATTATCTCTCTCAAGCCTCAATTAACATCATACTCAAGGGGGAATCCAAATGCTGTATTATTTTGTCTGAGAGGAATAGAAGGTTCAGAATGGTATCAGAAAGTCCCTCTGTAGAGACATGACCCTCCATGGCCAACCCGTTACCCCTACGCAGGCTCCCCTGAGCCCAATCTTAGTGAGTAAATAAGAGTTGGGTCTTGAGACAACCCAACCATGGTTGATCTCCCCTACTTACCGGTTTGTGTGTGCTCCTTGACTTGCTGTTCCTCTGCCTCCTCCTCTGTGAAGACTGGGGTAGGAAGACGGGTGTTCAGGAAAATTAAATCATTTAATGCGTAGATACAAGGCTCGCAGCCACCTGTCATAGGTAAATACTCCATTGACATCAGGCCAGTGACTCCTTGGCATCGACATTGCAAAGACTCCAGACAAATGTAGCCTTCTCCCTTGTGCACAGTAATCAGCCATTTTATTATTTTTCTTAAATTCGTAATCCTCCCCCCTCCCACAAGCCTCCCCCTGTCCAACAGTCTTCCTGGGAAAAGTTGGGGCTCTGAAATGAAAATGGAAATGAACTTGCAGGAGATTTCTCCGCAAAATTCCCAAATTTCCCCACAGTACAAACTACCTGGGACCATGATTCTGTCCATGAGCACCAGCCACTTAGGACAGTGTGAATGGGGCCCCCAGAGCTGGTCAGTCACCAGGCCTGGGTTCTGACCAAAATGTACAGGTGATTAGACCTCTCTCCCAGAAGTTCTGATTCAGGCAGTCTGGGCTGAAACTCAGACACGTATCGATTTTTAACAAGCACTTTAGCTAAGTCTTGTCTTCAGGGAAGTTTGAGAAATTCTGCAGTCGAGAGAGGTCTTAAAAATAGGAAAAATTCCAGGTGGAAAAAAAATGGTAAAGAGGATTAGGTATGGACTCAGAAGGAAAGTGGGAAGACCCAGCAAAGAGGCTCTTGAGTTTTCCATGCCAGGTGCTAAGAGGAACAGGGGAGGAAGCAGATACAGAGCATGGCAGCGTGGCCATTGTAAACCAGCTTCGCTTTCAAAAATGAGGCTTAGTGTCCGTTCTCTCAGAAGGCCTCCAGAAACTAGAAGGGACCATTTCTGAGCCGTGTATAGTGTTTGTGGTTTCAGGCTCAGCAGCCACACAGCGAGTTTGCCTGAGAGGGCGGCACGGTGGGTGGGCAAATGGAAGTTGCAGAGAGAAGCAAAAGCTGCAGGAGACTCTAATTCAGCTCCCTTTCCACATGGCATTTGTGCCCTACTCAGTGCTTCTCCGCTGTGGCTGCTAGAAGATTCCACTGCCAAGCATCTTCTAAACCACCTCCTTCTTTACCGTGTCCCAGCCGGTTAGGCTAGGAGCACAGGAGAAGGGCACCAGCATTTGCATTGTTTTAACCTCTCCTTGCAAGCCTAGGGAGCAGCCCCATGAGAGCCATTCAGCTAGGGAAGTGGCCCTCAATCTTGGCTTATACAGAGTCGCCAGGAGCTCTTTGAAAACGACTAGTGCCTGAGACGGACTCACAGAGATTCCCTTTTAACTGATCTCAGGAGCAGCCTGAGTCCCTGGGAATTTTAAAAAGTCACCAGGTGTTTTTACCAGTGCAGCCAAGGCTGAGGACTACTTGGCCAGGCTTTATCATCTACAACCACTTTGCTGAAAGTCAAGGGCAACTGCTTTGAAGTGTAAGTTCTTGTGTCTTTGTTGAGAGTACAGAGCAGACTTGCACTGACATAAGGGGTCAGGCCCCCTGCCAGCCTCCTCTCTGCTCTGAGAGGTGAGCCCACTGTCCGGACTGTGCCTGCAGCTCCTGTGATAACTCAGTTTGTCCTGACCTTGCTTGGGGAGATCAGTGACCTCCCAGCGACGTCATTAATCTCTTTGACCGTACCTCTCTCTGGTCATATGGGGTAAATGATTCCACAGAGAGGGTCACCTATGATCCATTCATGGGCTAAGATAGATCATTGGTCTTAAAGGTCCAGTGGGGAGAAACAGACTGTATGTAAAAATGGCGTAACAGAATGGACAGAGACATCACCATGAAACCTGTCCCTTATAACTCTACCCAGATTCCTCTGTTGGCCTCACATGGGGGCCACGTTGGCCTGACATCCCTCCCCAGGCTATTATTTGCAGGCATTTCCTGTTCATTGTACTTATAATCAGTTGGTTAAAGGGTAGCATAGTTGGGGGATGGAGGGAGGGCTGATCAAATGGGTTGACTCCATGGAATTAATGTGCTCCATAGAAAGGCAGTTTCCTGAAATGTTAGGGAAATTTTCCTGGCTGTTGTAGGACTCCTTGCATGGAGTTAAAAAAAAAAAAAAAAGATCAGTATAGAATTGATACATCCAAATGGCTACTACTTTTTGCAGATACTTTAAATAATTCTTCCTTGGCACTGCTACACAGTACATTGCCTATCCCCTATGATATCACTCTTGGTGATAGCTTCATGCTTTGACAGAGATTTGACTTAATAGTTGGCTGTCTTCTGAGCCAACTCTTTGAGTCACCCCCTTTGTTCAGAAATTTGCTCAGGAATCCTAAAGACACTCTAAAAAATTCAAAATATATAGGTTGCCTAAGAAAGAGAGAGGAATAAGAAGGGAATGGAGAAATGGTAGCATTATTTTTCAGAATTAGTGTATCATGTCTCAAGGAAGAGTGCTATGAAGGACAACCATCACATTTCCTAACATTTGGGTAAATTAAAGAAAAAGTTCCAATGTCTTTATAAACATGTTTGTAGGTCACGTTCTTACCGGTTTTCCCTGCTCATTCAATCATCATTTTATATCTGTTGGTTGCCTCTCATGGTTTTCCTAATGTCTAGTAGGGGGAACAGTTCCTTAAGGAAAATGCAGAAGTGGGATGCAAGGCGGTTGAGTCTTCTAGGGTTATAGGGTCTGAACTGGATAGCTAATGAGGCCTGCCCTGTAATAGGAGAACGGCTGTAACAGAGCGCCTGGCCCTCTGGATAAACCGGGCGGTCAAGGTCATGTTCTTCTTGTGGGCACACGATAGGATAGAAGTCCTGCCAGGTGCTGGTTTGGCCCACCCAAGAATCGCATACATGGGATTGGGGTGTCCATATCTTACTGCCCCTTGAGTAAGTCAGACGTAAACAAGTCAAAACAAATATGCAGCCCAAACATCTTCATTCTCAGGGATATGAATTGTACTGCTCCTCAGACCTCAGAAATTGGAAGCCAGATGTTGGTGGGACTCAAAAAGTCTGTGTCCAAGCAAAAAGACAGCAAAAATCCAGGGACACTAACTTTTAGTCTTTTAAGAGAGGAAATAAGTGAACTTGGCTGTGACTTTGTTATGTGGAAGAGAAACACATAGAGTGTTATTCTCAGCGCATGTATAATTTCGTTTAGGTTTCACTGGTGTGAAATGGCTAGAATTTTCAACTGGAGGGTAAACTCTAGTGAATTTCCCAATGGTGGCTCTATTTATATACCCGGGTGTACCTCTTGCAATGGTAAAACTTTCTTAAGATGTTTTAAGAAGTGCTCAATCACCAGATACTTTTTTGGAAGCATTAAAATATTTGAAGAAGCCCAAACTAAGAGCCAAAAAAATGCATTTATGTTGCTTCTTAATGATTCATACGCACAGTAAAACCTAACAAATGAGAACCAGAAGAGACTACACGGCCACTTTTGACACATTTAAGAGGCTAGCCAATCTCACTGGGGGCATTTTTATAATCTGCCTCCCACAGACGTTCTTACTTCTAGAGAAATAAACAGTACGTCTGAATTAGAACACATTTCACTGTGCAAATGCCACAGTTGGAAACATCTTAAGAGAGTTTGATCATCTTTCCGGATTTACTAAATCAAAGTAAAATAGCATTTTCCATTTTAATTTTCTCTTAAATATGGCATCATTAAAAATAATTCGGTTAGACAGGATTTATTCCAGTAGGAGTGCTTGTACCTTCTCTATGCAGCCAGCCTAGTTTGGTGAGGAAATTATTATCCATAACATGATACCATATAACATTCTCTTCTGAAATGACAGCATTTCTTTTCCTTTCCTTTTAAAGTAATTTTTTTATATTATACCACAATAATAGAGTCTAGATTGTTATGATTTTCGTAGCTAGTATCCCGTTTCCCCAACATACTGTCCGTATTTTCTTTAAATGTTGTCTCCGTTCAGCGCAGAAATGCAAGCACCGTTTGAATTACCCTAGCCCTAGCAACATCCCCCGGCATGACGTTCTGGTAACACTCAGTATTAATGATGGTGCGACAGTGTGTACATGGCCCCCTGTTCCGACATCACCATGATTCCGCTGGTCAGGTCCCCGCATGCCTGTTTCATGATCTTTCTAAACTCTCGATGTCCGAGATGTATCCACACATTTCCTTGCAACATCCATTCGAAAGCAGCACCCCTCCCTCCCTGCATCTGAATACATCCACCCAGTCGGCAGAGAGCACACCCTCCCCCCCTGAGCGAGCAGTATTGTGAATTTTATCTTCTCTTCCAGAAATCAGTTCGTCTTCGTTGCAGCAGATGAAATTTCTTGTAACACCTCTGCAGGTAACAAACATTGCTACTTCTTGATGCATCCATCCAAAGCTCAGTATTCTGTCTCTTTCTCTTTCTCTCTCTCTCTCTCTCTCTTTTTTTTTTTTTTTCCTTCACATGCTGCAGTTGGTCACTCTAGAAAGTTGAGTTTAAAAAAAAAAAAAAAAAGACAAACAAAAACAAAGCCCGTATATCTATGGAGTATAGCCGAAGCCTTGAGGCTCCGCTGTCTGAAAAGATACCAGGCGTTTTGCTAACTTGGATATTTTATTTCCAGTTTTAATAATACATGATCTAGAAAAGTAAAACTCTGTTGAATGAAGCCACAGTATGATCTTACGGTATAAGCAGTGCTCTTGTGTTAAAATGCTGAATGGGAGATTAAGGACACAGACGTGTGACTTGTATGTTTTTTGACATATTTTTGTCTGGGCTCACGCAGATGTATATGTGAATTATTTGGGATCTTTATTGAATGACTAGTTATAGAAGACTGAATACAGAAAGCCAGAGAGAGGCATTGGGGACTATGATTATCTCTGTCTCATGAGAAGGAGATCTTCATTCTATTAATGAAAGATCCTCTATCTCCTTTCTTTTAAAATGTATTACAAGTAGCAGGATTTAGAGAGACAAAGTCTGCCTTTGGAATCAGGGCATTGGCAAATGGAAACTACAAAGTTGCATGATGTGTCCGTCAAAATAATGCCTGTCTTTTTGCTTTGATGTGGTTCAGAACAGTTATGGTTGGACTTTCATTAGCATGGAATTACTTGATTAAATGCAAGATAGGTGAGTGCTAACAGATTCGGGGTTCTTTGGTTTTGGTTTGGTTTTGGTTTGTTTTGGGGTTTGTTTTTTTGTTTTGTTTTGTTTTGTTTTGCCTTTAAGCCTAAACTTTCACCAAAACAGTTACTAGGGAATCTTATCAATGTGTTGCTTCTAGCCAACAAGGGAGGGACCGTACAGCTTACGAACATGTAGTTGAGTAGGACATGACCTTCAAAACCCTACATTCCTCAGAGCGTTGCAGATAGAACTTCATCTGCTATCGAACGCATTTTATCAGCGGAGCCCAGCAAATGGCTAACGCTGCCCTCCCTGCTTACAGTCTTTGGTGAAAAGGTACTGAAGGAAGGACAGAGTGTTAGGAACATGTCACCAGCCCTGTCCGATCTAAAAGTTTCATTGGTAGACTCGGTGTCCATATTTTTATTGGCTCAGTGTCTTACCCCGGGAGTTCAGGAAGTATGCATGCTTATATTTTAAAGCGATAGCTTACTCCATTTCTATAAAAAAACCCCTGGATAAGGGCTCCCCTTTTTCCCTCTCTAAACTCCTGGCCTGAAACATCTGTTTCTCCCTGTGGGAGGTGGTGACATCCCTAACACTTCGCTAATACTTAATAGTAGGGGATGGATGGTTGCGTGGCTGGGGGTGGCGGGAAATGTTCCTGGGATGCGAGAGACATTTGACCTCTTCAAACCCTTGGAAAGGGAGCATGCTTCTGGAGGGGTACCTGACTGCGGTGGGGAGGGGTGTTGGTTGAAAGTGTTATCAGATGCCATCTGTGGGTATGCTGACTTCCACCGCCTCCAACTCTCCTGTTTAAAACGCACGCCTGTCCCGGTGTATCTTGGGTTGTGTTTTGACACCACGGGTCAAACACTGCCACGTTGCAGCTTTAAGAGATAGACATTGATTTCATCCTGTTGCCTTGTAAGCAAGTGGCCCCCACACACACTACTCCTGAAAGAGGCCACAGATAATGAAAGTTGGCCTGGGTAGAGCGAGTGTTGTCACCTACCTTATCGGATTTAGGACAGCTGCTCAGTAAATTCTTAATGGATTGCTATTGATCAGATTTCAAATTGAGAGAGAGATCCCTGTTGCTTTGATGGCCATATTAATAATACGTTGTCTGCTTCATAAGGTTCGATTTGAACTCTGAATTTTGAACCAAGCATGAAAAAGGAGACACCCGTATCAATCAAATGTCAGATTCTCTCCCAGCCAGTCCTCCCTCCTCACAGAGTGAATATGGAAAATCAGAACTGGTCGGTCTACACAGTTTGTGACTCATGGTTTTGATGAAATCTCCAAGCGCCTCGTCTCCCCCGTGCTGGGAGAACCGGGGCATCCCCATTCTAACCAACAAAACCATCCCCGCATGCAGAACAACTCCTTAGGGCAGGTCTCCTGAATAAGTGGTTATCTCCAGGATTTCAGTGTTTCTCTAAACAAAGGAAGAAATGAGCAAGACACTTAAGATCTCAGTTTGGAGGACACGGTGAATTTAATAACTGAAATTCTTATAAAGACATGTTATTCTCACACAGCTGCCTGTGGGGCAGAGCTGGCCAGTTTTGTCGGTGGCTCGGGGCAAGAATGGTGAGATGAAGATTGTGAGACCATAGGATCTGCAGCACCAAAGGGGTTTTCTTCCTGTCCCCAAAGGAAAAGTGACAATTCTTCCTTGGGTCTTTTGGAGAGGATGCCAACATGTCACTCCTGCTTTTGCTAGCCACATTAGAAGAAGCTTTTCTTGCTCGCGTGTGTGGTTTGTGAGGCTGTGTTTGTTTTCTTATTCAGTGTCTCTGGCAGTGGGATTCATTGTTTGGTTTTGGTGTTCTTTGGTTGCTCCTGAAGGACAGAGTGCTCATGGGGGGTGACTCCTGGGGGGCCTTTTGACAGAAGACCTGAGCCCCCAGTGTGCATGTGTCCAACACTCAGTTTGGACACTCAGATATCTTCTCATTTTGTAACATCAAGAAACTTTCATGAGTTGGATCCTGCAAGCGATGGCAGGGACAAGGGACAGGATGATTTTCCCTTCTTAGACTCGAGGGCTCCCTGCCACTGTGACTCGCTGGAGATTTTCCAGGACTGGCTAGTGATTGTAGTGGAAGGAGAGTACGGCTCTTATACCCGAATGAAGGTCACAAAGCAAGTTCCTTAGTTTGGCAGAACAGCTGGGAATTCAGCTCACTTTATTAATATGTAGTGAGTCATTACTGTGTATCCGCAAGTGTTCTGAGTCCTCAGGACATGGCCTTAAATAAGCCAGGAGAAGCCCTTCCTTCAAAGAGCCTCCTTTTTAGCCAAGACCAGACGCCCGGCATGTAGGTGCAAAGGCATGTGATATACTGGTGTGGCAAATCCTACAACAGCTCTCATGAATCAAAGAGCAGAGGGCCGGATAGAAACTAGGATGCAGTGTTCCTTTAGGTTCACCGGGCAGAGAGGACCTCCGAGGGGGTGACGTTGGAGCAGGGACCTGCAGCAAGTGCAAATGCCTTGTGGTTGAGGCATGCCTGAGGTGGCCAGCCGGGCTCAGCAGGATGCGTGGCGGGGCCACGGCATCTGAATACAAGACAGAGCTTTGGACATGAAATCAGGAAGACCGCTAGGGCTCAGAACAAATTAGGACTTGGAGAATTTGAAACCACTGGAGATTTAGGTGTGGTAGGAAGTTCTTGGAGGGTCAGCTGTGGTCTGCCTTATCATTTTAATGATGAGTTGGCATTGTGGAAAGCAGATCGCCCATGACAAGAGCAGGAGAAGGAGCACTAGTGGGGAGTCTCTTGCAACAGTCCCGGGAGAAGGGGGGTGTAGGGAGAGGGGAGGAGGGTGGCAGGGACCTGGGTTAGGAAGATGGTGGTTGAAGAGCCAAAAATGGGTTGGCTTTGGGCTGTATTTTGAACAGAGAACAAGCAGGACAGGCCGGCAGATTAGAAGTAGAAGTTGTTCAGTCCGTGTTAAACATCCACGCTCTCCCTCTTGCTCCAAGGTTGTTTTATTTTCCCAGAGTGCTAAGACCTGTTGCCACGAAGAGGGAGCCCTCCATCCCTCAGTCCTTGTCCCTCAGTCGGGCTTTGCTGAATTCTCCAGGGTGTGATGATAACTTCCTGTCATCTTGAGCAAATTCTGCCTACGAGCAAGCATGATAAATTATATGTATACGTAGGTCCCTGCCTGTGCGTGTGTGTGTGTGTGTGTGTGTGTGTGCATACGTGCACAGATGATTTCTCACATCAGCTCAGTGAGGGAGGTGTTACCCTCCTTCTCGTCTTAGAGGTTAAAAAAAAAAATTGCTCAGATCCAGAGAACTTGGGTAACTTTCCCCAAATCCCAATGGACAAAGTTCTTTCCACTGAACCCCACTGCCCCCATGTGCCCCTTGTATTTTGACCTTGCAGCATTGACCTTTGGCTCCAGATGGAATTCCCCTGCTCTTTGAGTTGTGCTATCTTTGCTCCTAAAAGATGAGTATTTGTGAGTTGGGGAGCACAGTTGTTAAAATGTTGGGGCCCTCAGGGAACTTACCGGCTCCCCAGATGGCTGTTCCCCTGGGTGTGTATTTGACCTGGTGCGTCCCCTGCGTGCATTGAATACTGTGTCGTGCTGGGCACCAGTCTAGGCACAGGGACAGAGCGTGGAGGGGAGCAGCTGCCTTGCCGGGGAACATTCTGCGTATTCCAGGAGATAGGGTCAAACAGGCATCGTGTGTTCCGGGTTGGTTCCCCAAATATCTTTCTTTTGCTGATAATCAGTAGCTAGAGATCAACAGGCTAGTCCATCCCTTACCAGAAACTTTGAGCTGGTGGTTTTGGCTGCTGAATTCCAGCTGCTCGAGAGTGTGTGTGTGTGTGCATGCTTGTGTGTTTCTGGGGTCCAGGGGGAGGCGGGGTCTCTGTCCAGCAGCAAGTCTTGCCTCCTCCACCAGGCCAGGCACCATCTTGGAGGCACGGGAAGCCGGCGTGGGGACACACCCCCCGTTCTGTATGAGTACTGGACACTAGGTAAGGGTGGGGATCTGCGAAAAAGCCTTGGCCGAGGGCATGGCCAAAGCCATTAAAACCATCCCCCGTGAGTGGGCTGCTATATACTTGATGAAGTCATTATCAGAAGCAAGTTCATGGCCACATGGGGTGTATAACCCTCTTCCATCCTTCTATCCCCGCCCGACCTACACATGTAGGTGCACACGCAGGCCCAGAAACACACACTCG